GTTGGGGTTCACACGGATTGACCACTCCTTTGGGCTTTTCTTTTCACATCGGATAATTGGGGGGGAAAGCATAATCCACAAACATGGTAAGAGGAATTTATTGCGTAAATGACCATTCTAGGGTGTTCAGTGTTTATCGGTGAACCAGGTATTTAATTGGTCATTAGTCATATTAAAGTTCTGTAGTAATGATGGAATAATTAAAAAGATCCTTCGGCAGAGATGTTGAGATGCAACTTTTTTTCTTTTGGCTTCCAGAGGATGTTTATCTGTTCTTTTGATTAGTTTTTTTCTTTTGCACATAGAATTTAGAATTTTAAATTTTCTAATTTGGATCATCTGTGCAACATTTTAATTGACTTTTTAAAATACGGATTGATTTTGGTCTTAACAGGATAGTCTCCTGCAAATACTCCTAATGTTGAGCATTGCATGTTGATGAGGATCAGGATGGAGCGTCAGCTGAGAAAGTGCAGATTCTGCTTAGGAGTCAGATTCCAGGGGATTGGATGTCTCCAGGCCATATACAGGGAGTGTAATGTGTTGAGCCTGAAATAGCTGGACTAATTTTCAACAAGCTCCATGAAGTCCTTTTGAGACCGGGGCATTTATGATGCACCATGTGAATCACAAAAAAGCAAACTTGACAACAATGTCAAACATAACCTGAAATAAACCCCTCAAACTGACGAGAGCTTAAATTTCATCTCTATAGTAGTTTTTTTTTTTACCCCAAGAATTCTTATTTTCACTACAACTCTACACAAGTGGTAGCTATTGTTTGTATTTCAAGCATTTGTTCTCTCAATCAATTACCTGGTGTCAAAAAATGATTGATAAGTTGTCAGTCTGCTCCACTGCTCTGGATTGAAGCACAATTCAGCTGAACGCAAATTTATAGAGTCCAGAAATGAAGTCTGGAGTGAAGTGACCCCTGTTTTCTTGCAGACTGACGCACAACAAGAGGCCCGCTCCTATCTGAGCGAGGAAATGCTGGCTGGTGAGTACACTGATAAAACAAAAACAAAACAAAACAAAAAGCTGGTGCGACAATTGGGATCTTTGTTTAAATAAGTTAGACTCCAATAAATTGTTGCAATAATGCCTATTTAATTAAATAAATCTAGGATCAGTTATCATCAAAACAAACAAAGAAAAAATAAGAATTTGAGCATAAAACATCAGTGAAATAGTGATTGTGGTTTTCAAGATCAATCTGAGTTTGGCGAGATGTAAACCTCGACAATCACAGATTTCTGGAAACAACTAACAGTCTGAGGGGTTAAGAAAGCTCTGCTGAGCATTGGAGTTAGCATGAGCACTTTGGCCAGAGTCCAACTCTACACTTCCTCCAACACCAGCCTTTTCCAGCCCAGATCTAATGATAGTTCCTTATGTTTTTACAATGTCTAAGATGTCTCAGCAAAAAATGTTAGGTGGGATTTGTTCCAAAAAGAAAGTCGCTAATGTTATTGTTTTCCTCATGTTAAACACTGAATAAAATACTGGGCTGAACATTGAATTCTTCGAATAGCTGATTTTTTAATAAACTGGAAAATATCCCATCATTATTGCTTCAGATCATGAGTACATGTAAAATACAGAAGTAGCTCACAGTGTATAGAATTTCAAGGCAGACAAATGAGGAGCAGCTTTTGACCATTCAGTTGATCACAAAAGACAGCAGTTCATCAATATGTTGCCATAGCAATATGCAATGTTTCTGATAAAATAAATTTAAGAAACACATAATCCTCTTACATCATCATGTCCAACCTTGATGATGTGATGCTTAGAAGTTCTAATCACACAACTAATGAATGTCTATTAGCCAAGTTCTGAGCCCAGATCCCACAATGTTTCCCACATTGATTCCCTCCAGAGTTCAAGGCCGCCTTCGACCTGTTCGACACCGACGGTGGCGGTGACATCAGCACCAAGGAGTTGGGCACCGTGATGAGGATGCTGGGCCAGAACCCGACCAGAGAAGAGTTGGATGAAATCATCGAGGAGGTGGATGAGGATGGTGAGCAAAACACGCAACTGTTTTACTTTTACGCACAAAGGCGTTGCGCTGCCAGTGGCCACTTGGAAAGCAAATGATCAGAAGTTACTGTTAATAAATGTTTTTGATGTGGGTGTTAATAAATTTCAGCTTGACTCTGTGAAGCATTATTGAATATTTTAAAATCTTTTTCAAATTCGGAAATCCAGTGTGTTCAGATGTAATCCAACACAGCTCACATCTAACCAGGCATTTGGGGGGTTTACCCTTATTTTTGTTATTATCTTTATTTTATTTTGATTTTTGATTTTCTGATTTCCTTCTTTGTATTTGTTGTGCTAACCTTCAGGCAGCGGCAGCATCGACTTCGAGGAGTTCTTGGTCATGATGGTGAGGCTGCTAAAGGAGGACGAGGCCGGCAAGAGCGAGGAAGAGTTGGCAGAGTGCTTCCGCGTGTTCGACAAGTGCGTCCACTGCGGCGGGGGTTTGGATCAGAGCCTGTTCACAAGATGCCTTCTCTTTTATGCATATGGCTCCGCTTTTTCTCGTGCGTTCCTGCAGGAACGGTGATGGATACATCGACAGAGATGAGTTCGCCCTGATCATCCGCAGCAGCGGGGAAACCATCACAGATGATGAAATTGATGAGCTGTTGAAGGACGGAGACAAGAACTCTGATGGCATGCTGGACTTTGACGGTACGTGGATGATGGGAGAGATGCCTAACCATGAAATAGTCCTTGTGGAGAAGTTGACCTTGATCTTTGAACAACTAGATTTAAAAGTAAATAAAATAAAATAATAATAATAATAATAATAATAATAATGTAGATGTTTTGTTCTTTTATATCATTTTGAAATTTGCAAGATTAACTTCTTGCTCCAATTGATTGACTTGATTTACAGAGTCTCTACACTATAAAAACTAATGGTTAAAAATAACAATTTGTGGTACATACAACTGCTTTTTTGGGTTATTTTGGGAACACAGTTGTGGTTAAAACATGGCGGTTGGCCGAACAAAACATTGCAAAAAGTGAAATCTAAGTTAGATTACACATCTTAGATCAAAGGGGTCTAAGCTTGCTTCTTATCTTGTAAGATACCTTTTCTCAGTAGGATTTTTGTGCCAGAACATTTCCTTTATTTAAGTGTTTCGGTCCTTCATTGTGTCAGTAAGATAGCTATATCATATGTTATTGTCAACTAAACAATAGAAAACATGAAAAATAAGTGATTTGTGAATGGGTTCAGTCTTTATCTGCTTGCACATGAAGCAATGTAGAAGCACAAACAAGAATGAAGTAATTAGAAACACAGGACTGAATCAATATTGAATTAATACAGCTAAAACAAATGTTATTGTTGAATCACCTGTAAGTGGGCCTAAACATACCCTCTTAGCTTGTTCTGGCTACATAGCAGAAACATAGAATTTGGGTGGAATGACTAAACCTGCAGCTTTTGGACTTCAACTGTTGCTGATCCTGTTGGGTAAAAATTCCTCTTTAATCTCTTTTTCCAGAATTCCTCAAGATGATGGAGAATGTGCAGTAAAACAAATAGGACTCAATGGACATTCCTCCAACCTCCTGCGAAAACCCCTTTCTGAATAAATCTGCACCACGCTCTACCCTTACCTCCATTTCACTGACTCACAAGCACTCACACACTGTCCACCTGTTTCCCTGCCTCCTTCTCCAGCCTTGCAGACATCCTCAACAGACAGCAGGGCACCTCGCTTTGGAGCGGGAGTCGCTATCTGAGCTACATTAATCCCTGACTTGCTGATAGACGCAGACAGTTAGCCATATTTGCTGCTGATGCTGTATCCTGTGGACAGCATGGCTGCAGTGAGGAGATTGTCTCCAAACACCATCTGCATGCATGGCGAGCCCCCCCGCTCTCTCCTCTCTGCTGGTGAAGCTGTGATCTAGATCTAGTCTAGAGAGATAGGCAGCTTGTCACCTGCTGCATAGACCAAGGACTTCAAACACTTTACTGTACAAAGAAGTAACTTGCTTGAACAGAATAAATGAACTAACACATGCTCACTGGTAGTTGGTCTGTCATATTTATGGTCTGTGTAAAAAAACAAACAAAAAAACAACTTTGTTTTGAGGAATTTAAATAAAATCTTTTTTTGTTTCTTTACCTTTGTCAATTTCAGAATTTGTACTCATCCCAGCATACACCGGCTGAAAAAATTAAACGGTGTCACGAGTGTAGAAGTTCAGGTTCAGTGTTCGTTAATTGAGTTTAATGTCTATCATTCTTGGATGTGATCAGGCAGGTTAATCTCTGACTACTTTGAACTCTTTTAAGCATAGAAATTGATTTTTTTATGTCCTTTTTCAATGTCACTTTTCAGAGCATGGGTCAGCAGAAACATCTTCGATGCCAAAGTCTGTTTTTTCAGTTTGAATGAATATTAAATACAATCTGTTGTGTTGTTTCCTAAACCCAGAGTGGCCCAAACACTGACAATAAAAATCTGTCCCGTTGTGGTTTGGAACACCTCAATTCCACTACAAAACACAGATTCAGTATGTTTTTTTTTCCTAAGCGGAGACAAACTTCCTCTGGTTGGAAAAAGTTAAAAAAAAAAAAAAATTCCCCAAAGTAGTTTTGATCTTGTCACCTGCAAAGATTTGTATTCTTGTATTAAATTTTCTGTTCTGGGAATCATATTAAGGCCCACAACTATTTTGGGTTGCAGTAGCACCAAAATATACATTTATGTGTCTCAGGTGTCCATTTTCATTAATGTGCCACACCTAATGTGGCATGCTGACATACAGCAATGATAAATGAGCAAGAGTCTTCATTTAGAACTGTTGTAGTTCAGCATATCACATAATCTGCATCACATAGAGAAATCAGCACAGACTGCTCGTAAACATATTTTTGGCACCAATGGAACCCTAAACATGGCTCCTGTCAACTGCTGTCTTGGGAACCATTTGTACATAGATCGGTCATTTATAAAAGTAAATAAAAAGAACAAGTCATTTACTTTATTTAAACTGTTTCAGATAACTTTATAAAATATATGAGAGATTTTGGCATTGCGTATTGAGCTATGATGCTAAGCCACTGAGAAATAGAGGAAGTCAAGTTGAAAAAAATAAAACAGAGTTCACGAATATTGTAATCAGATGCATCAGCAGTATGTGTCCACATGTGTGTCCATTAAGAGCCATAATTGGCTTCATCGAAAGCTTTCCGGGCTCTCTTCAGCTCCTCGTTCATGGTCAGCAAATCTTTGACGCGGGCAAATTTTCTGGGATCTTTGCGGATCAGAAAAACTATGTCTTCCACCTGGACGCGGCCCTGCCGCCCGATGGACATGGCTTTGTGGGTCATCTCCGTGATGAACTCGATAACCAGGTCCTCCAGGATGTCCACGGACTCTGTGTACGGGTTCTGGTCGTCGCCGAAGCCGTACATCATGCAGCGGAGTTCCTTCGAGAAGAGCCTTTTCCTTCTGCCGTGGCCAGCGGCGTCCACCCCGCCGGAGCCGTCCTCCAGCTCCTCCTCGAAGCCCGGCTCGTCCTCTTCCTCCGCCATTACTCTAGAAATAAACACAAATATAATTAAAGTCAATTAAACTTTTATAAAAACGTAACGAAAAAGACAACTCTTACATTAACTGCCTTGTTCAACTGAAAGCGCGAGACAACAACAGAGCGTCTGAATTTCTACTTCCTGTCTGTCATAGGCTACTTGTAAACAAATTATCGGTGCACTATCGCCACCTGTCGGACTGGAGCGCAGCAGGACATAAACTTGAAAAATCTTTGAGTTTTGCAATTGGTATCGCGTTGAAATGAATCCATTCATTCATTTTCTTACACCCTTGTCACCAGTGGTGCCTGTCTCCAGGGAAACACCCTGGACAGCTCGTTGAAATAAATAAATAATTGTAATAATTTACATTGTCAGTATCTGAACCTAGAGTCAATCAGAATCCAGTAATGGCAGGATGGTAATAGAAATTCTGGGTCACGTTGCAGAAAAGAACAAAGAAATGAATATGGAATCAATAAAACAATTAATTTAAAAAAATAGATCGTCCATAAACAAGGTTGGACAACAGTTAAAATCTATGTTTAAAGTGAACAACCAGAGTGTTTTGAGCTGTGACGTAAGTAGTGGGAGAAAATCTATATTCCTAATGACTGGAGGAATTATTCAGAGAAAGCCAGTCTAAGTTTCACAAAGAGGAACATTACAGTTTAGTTGAACTACTTCCTGTTTGTTTCCATTCTGGTTGACATTCCAGTTCAGAAGGTGGCGGTAATGCACACTTTTGCACACTGTTTGCTTAATCTAAGAAGAAGAAAAAGAAGAAGGAAAAAACAACATAGGCAGATAGTCGCACAACAGATGGTAAGTGCTGTTGAACTGTCATTTTCATGTCTTTAACCTTCTGTCGGTGCGCATAATACGGGAATACATGTTCCTTTCGTGGAAAACTATGTCCGAGTGTCTAACAAGTTACCAAAGCATTCAGTCTGTCTAACAGCTGTTAACACAAACCCTGGTAAAAATGAGTTGGAAAATGATCTGGGTCCGCATCATTTACACGCTGGCGCATCATCGGGATGTCCCGCTCTGTTCCAGAGCGAGCGCGTCGCAATCACAATATTGACTTTATGGTTGCTAAATCTCATAATTAGAGAATTTGGGGGTAACTTGGAGAAAAGGTTCGCTCTGAGGAAGGAAACCCTCCTCTATCGCTCAACTTGTTTTCGGCCTGGTCCTGCGCCGGCGGACTGTAAAGGAGTGGCTCTGCCGTGTTTGACAGTCAGCTGGCGCTAAACATCACTCACTGTGAACTTTTAATACTGCTTCACTCTTTTCCCCTAACTTTCTCCAAACGCAGGTTGTCCCGGTCACAGCGAACAGTAATGGGTGGGTCCAGAGTTTGTGTGAAGACGGTGGTCTGTCTTCATTAGCGGTTCCGTATGGCGTGGCCGGTCCAGTTTCTCTTCCGGGGCCTTCGCACTCTCGGATTGGTTCTCCTCTACTATGTCTTCTCCATGGGCATCACCTTCTATAACAAATGGCTGATGAAAGTAAGAACCTCCATGCAACTTGTGTTTGTCGTTGCTCGACTGGTAACCTGTCTTCCTTTTTATTTGGATGAAAAACTGAGAAGTAAGCAAACGAAGCCACCATCACTTAAAATATATATTGAGTCTTAAACAATAAATAAAACAAATCTGCTTATAAAGACACCAAATAACATGCAAAAGTGGAAATTTATTTAGAAATAAAGAAAGAGGAAGCAGTGAAGGTGCCAGTGCAAACGTAACATCTCTTCCAGCTCTGAGAAAACAGCTGGAAGAGATCTGCAGAGAGATGCAGCTTGTATCTCTCTGCACCTACAGGTAGCAGAGAGATACCACACTGTTACCACACTGTTAGTCAGTTGTCTGAAAGAAGTCCCCTGAACGTTTCTTGGTGTGAAAAGAAAATTAAACTTTGGTATTTGAAAATAATTTCAAATACTGAGAAGGTAGTCGTAACTTACCAGAAGCACAACCCACATACCTTCTAACTACACTTAAATCAAGGCAGATAGAGATGATAAAGCCTTTGAAGCTGTTTTTAGATACAAAATGTGTTATCTGAAAGCAACTTGTCAGTTTCAGGGGAGTTTTTTTCCAACTTTAATGGGCTACTTTTATATTTTACTCAGAATTTGAACAGGGAGTTACACGATGAGCTCATCTTTTAAGCACCAAAATGAGTGTTTGTGAAAAATGGCCTAAGAAATCCCCTAAATCTGTAGATTAAAAAAAAAAAAAAAAGTAGGTATCATGTCGGATCTTAGCATTTCTCACGGAGTGGGAGGCAGTCTAGTTTATTCTGTCTGCTTCTGTTTTCTCAGGGCTTCCACTATCCCTTGTTCATGACGCTGGTTCATCTTGGCGTCAATTTCTGTCTGTCAGCTCTGACGCGGCGGGCGATGCAGTGCTGGACAGGGAAACCTCGCATCATTCTGACCTGGCCAGACTACCTCCGTAAAGTGGCTCCAACAGGCAAGCTCTTGTTACTTTTGGACTCTGAAGCTCTTGTTACTTTTGGACTCTGAAATGTTTTGATTGTCAATTTTGAGAACCAGGGGTTGAAGGTCAGATCTTATCATGTTTACTGATGGATTTTTTTTTCCTCTTCAATAATTATTTGACTAAAATCTAAATTGATAAGTTTCGTCACACATCTAAACATGGAAGTATCAGGTGATGTTAAACCGATCATATCTACCTGAGCAAAGGTCTGAAAATCAGCGGCTGTTCCCTTTTCTCTGCTGTGATAGAGGGTTGACTGATAGACCCGCCCACTTGGTCACGTCATGCGCAGTTAATACTGTTGCCATTTTAACATCTTTGTCACTGTATTTATCAACCTTTCTTGCAAAACAAATCTATAATGGCCAAAATCAAAATTAGCAGTTCTGGCTTTTTAAAAAGGCAGCCCTAAACATTTTTCAGGCACACAGTATTCTTTTATCTCTCAGTCAAGTAACCGGTACCTTCAGCTGGTATAAAAATGTTGATTTGACAGTGTAATTTGTTTAAGTTTCTCTCTGTCGCTTTAAGAAGCTTCTCCTCTTCCCGACTCTCTGCCTTCAGCATATCAAGACAGCAATGCCATTTACAACCATTCTTGGAGTGATGGTCTGAGAAATAGTTCATATGACAAGCTTACAGGTCATTTATTAGAAAATCATGTTTCATTCATGTACATTCCCTCTATATCCAGTGTAATATAGATACATTGGTGGCCATACATACTGTATCTACATGAAGTGCATTTGGCTTGTAATTTTAGAAAAAGTTGTGAACAGGTTCATTTTCTCTGCAGCCTTGGCAACAACACTGGATATAGGGCTTTCCAACTGGAGCTTCCTCTTCATCACCATCAGTTTGTAAGTTAAAGGAAGAAGAGCATCACAGCCTTGTCACCTGAACTGTTGTAATGTCCTGTCCTCATGTCTGTTTCTTTACGGCTGAAGGTACACCATGACCAAGTCCTCAGCAGTGCTGTTCATTCTCTTTTTCTCCCTTGTGTTCAAACTAGAGGAGCCGGTGAGCAAAGATTATTTAAATTTGAAAGAGATTCAAATTATTTTGACCGTAATTGGCCTAAAATAAACAAAGAATAATGTCTTTTAACAGGAGAAAATTTTTTTCATTCTTTTTCTCTTTTAGCTCCATAAAAAGAGGGGAAGACTGTTAGAAATCATTAGAAAACATTTTAATGATCCCAGAAATTTTCATAATGATGGAATAATTTTCCCTCAAATGTCTCCTTTATTTTTGGAATTTTACAGCTTCTTCCTTCAAGAAGTGTCTGTTTCAAAATGATACTTATTTTCTTTTACTCCTTAGTACATCAAATAAATGCTTTATTATCCTGTTAGTGCAAAATAATAACTGAGTCTTCTTTTTACTGCATAATGGACGTTTGAGAATGTCAGTAAAACTTTTCTAACACACAGATATTCCAATCTGACCACAGCGTCTGTCTGCTCCTTCTTTCCCATTTTTACCCAGAATCCCCTCCTGATCCTTGTGGTCCTGCTGATCTCCAGCGGACTCTTTTTGTTTACATTTGAATCGACTCAGTTCAACATGGAGGGCTTCATCATGGTGCTGTTGGCCTCCTTCATCGGGGGAATCCGCTGGACCCTCACTCAGGTCCTCATGCAGAAAGCGGAGCTGGGTCGGTCTTGAGTCATTTTCAATTTCATTTGTGCAATTAGTTTGGAGGTGGACTGTCACTGTTGAATTTTAAAAACACAAAGTCAGCTAAGCTTGTTTGATATTTTGTTCTTTTTCAGGTCTTCAGAATCCCATCGATACCATGTACCACCTCCAGCCTCTCATGTTTCTTGGACTTTTCCCCCTTTTTCTCTACAATGAAGGTGAGTATAGTCAAAGTGACAATTTATAACTTCCATCAAAAATCTATTTCTTTCACCTATTTGTTAGACCGATTGGTAAGCAAGATCTCTCAAACCATATTTACTTAGCTTCTCCAGCAGTACATTGTCATCAGTTTTATCAAAAGCTTATTTTTTAATCTACAAAATAATATTTCTTGTCTATTCTGGCTGACATTTCTTCAAGCATATTCATAATGCAATTATTTTTTTACAAAACACATATTGCTGCTTACTACATAAAATGTTATGTTTATTGATAAATTGATCTAATTTGGTAACAAATATATACTCTAAGATGTTTTGAAAACTAAGGAGCCATGATCCTTGCTCTTTCTGATAACATAATTTGAAGAACAACCTTAAAGAAGGATCCTTGCATTAGGTAGATATCTTGATCTGGTAAATATTGTAATGTATCCACTACATTCATCCTTGTCTTGTTTCTATCCTCTCTCTGCAGCGCTGAGCCTGAGTTCTTCAGAGAAGTTGTTCCGGGTGACAGAGCTCTCTCCACTCCTCTATTCCCTCATGACGCTGAGCGTAGGCGGCATGCTGGCCTTCGGGTTGGGCTTTTCTGAGTTTCTCCTGGTCTCCAAAACGTCCAGCCTCACATTGTCCATATCAGGAATCTTCAAGGTCAGGGTGCTTGAAATCCTTGAAAGTGTTTGAATTTCAATTAGGTGTTCTCAAGGTTTGGAAGTTGTTTCATTTCTGAACAGTTTTGTAATAGAGTGCAGTCTAACATTTGATTAAAAGCCTAAATCTGGAAAGTGTTATTTACGGTTTATAAAAATAAACCTTTTGATTTAATTTCTTGTTGTCTGAAATTCAATCAGACTAAACCTTTCTTGTTTTAAGTTGGATAGAATCAATACAATTATTGCTAAATGCCAGAAAACTTTGCAAGAACATTTTTTTTAGATTTTTTGTAACATTCTGTGTATATTATGATTTACAATTTAATTTAAGAATGAAGGTAATTTATCTTAACATAAATTGTTTGAAGTGTCTTAATGTAGGGAATATTTTTACTCCTAATGGCTCAGTGACATATTGATCTGTGTAATGATCAATAAATGTTCTTTAACGATGTTTAACACATTGAACATCATTATTATTATTGGGGGATGTTTTTGTTCAATTAGTCTTATGTTCTCAGACTAGTCAAATTGAAAGTGTATGTGTGTGAGTGAGACATTTTGTTGCATTTTAGTTTCTCGTATGAAAGAGGATTAGAGCCATTGGGGGAAAAAAATTAAGACTTTTATTTCAGAATTCAAACTGTTTTTCTGAGATTAATGTAAGAATTCTTTCTTTTTCTTTTTTTTCCCAGTGGCCCTAATCCTCTCCCATAACCTCATGCCTACTGTAAAATGTAAATAATACCACAAGATATTAATAGCAAAAATAAATATAAAAATATCAGGTAATAGTGAATTGAAACCGTTGTGGGGTTTTTTTTGTTTTTTTTCTTTTATAGTTAATTTGTATTGTTTTTATTTCCAAAGTGATGTTGGAAAAGTTTGAAAAATTACTTTATAAGTGCTGAAGTGTTTGAATTGAACTTTGTAAGGTACTTTGTGTACAATGTGCATTTTTTTTTTTTCCACGGTGGCATTTCCAAAGAAGTCCCATCAGTCAACGCTCAGCTGTTAGCTTCAGTGTGAAATGCTCACCCTAAACCTTTCTGGAATAGTTTATCTGTCAGTCATGTAGCTGAATTAGTCCAAATACTGTAACGTTAGGATTAACATTCCTGACTGGAGCTTTAATGTTTAATAGTGCATCCATCTGTCAAAGTTATCCAAGAGATACAGCAACGTTGCTGTTTTCTCTTGTTCTTTTGACCTATTGTGGTTTCTGGTCTTCCAGCTGTAATCTAACCCATTTGTACTTATTGCTTGGTGTTTCCTGTAGGAGATATGTATGCTGCTTTTGGCAGCATCTCTGATGGGAGACAAAATGAGCAAACTGAACTGGTTGGGGTTCGCAGTGTGTCTCTGTGGGATTTCTTTACACGTGGGACTCAAAACATACTATTCCAAAAGTAAGTATATAAAAGACGTTGCCTTCCATGTCTAGCTTCCGAGAATGTTGCCGGTCCAGTTTGATTTTTCCTCCTGCATCCCTGCAGGCTCAATGATCCATGGCATCTCCTAGATTTCAATTTAATGTCCATTTCTAATGTCTGAAATTATTCTGATGATCATCTACAAAATATACTGAGCTTTAAAGCTGTCGCTACTACATGCAGATTTCATGCAGGTCATGGTTTTATTCACATCTTATTAGTGCAACTAGGAAACACCGTCAAGTGTTACATTCCTGTAATCCAGTGAAGATTTTTCCATTCGTTATTGAGATCAGAAAGTTTTGCAACATGCCATTCTTTTAATAAAATAAAAATGAAAAATCAAAATTGAAATTTAATTACATTGTTTAACATTTTGAGAAATGTTTCCAATCAAAACGAAACTCTTTTGGTTATGTAAATTTGAAATCTAATTCTGCCAGAGGTAGGAACAATTTTCCCTTTTTGAAATGCGTCTAACCCGTCTTTCTCCCCCGTCAGATAAGACTCCTTCTGTTCGACAGCTCAGCAGTAAAAGTTCAGAGCTTCAGCTGCCATTACTTCGGCAGAACGGAGATAAATGTGAGGATTCAGCCGCTGACGACTGTAACGATGAAGAGGAGGAGCAAGAAATCTCACTACATTGACAAAACCCCACTTGGACTCAGATCATTCCTTAACTTTTAGAAAAGCTCTTCCAGCTTCTTTGTTTCAGTTTTCTTCTATCTGAAGGGCTTCAGTATGACTTTTTTTTTGTAGTTGTTGCTTCCTTGGCTATACATTTCTCTCTGGACTTAAAAAGAAACAAAAAAAAATATTTTGATATTTAATTGTTGCAAATACAGTCAAATATTATGAATTTACAATGTCTGACAGGTGAGGAAACAGTGTCATATCTTTACAGCAATGTTCTGATGCATCAAATGGTGGCACTTATTTTTTTTCTTTTCCATCAGCCAAATCCGAGATATCTTCGATGTTATTCTGATAGTTACTGGAGAATAATTTTGGACAAAAAAAAAGCAAGTAACATAAATCTACCAATTCTGAAAAATATTTCTATTAATTCTGGAAGATACCAGTTTGTGGTTTCAATATTCACATATTTTTTTGGTCTATAATGGAGAATATGAAAAAATAATAATTACAGGTTCTTTGAAGTGAGATATTTGAATCCATCAGAAAATGACTAAGTTACATAATCATCTCTACTTTATGTGTTGTACCATAAAGTTGTCAACCTTTTTCAGATTAATAGGGTTAAGAAGATCCTGTGTGTGTATTCCTGAGAGCATTCTTTAAAAGAAGAGTGCTCACATTTTTTTAGTTCTGATGTACTTTATGGATGGGAGGAAAAATAATTTTTTATTATTCCACTTGATAATTAAGAGAAAGTTAGCCATTTCACATCTCTGGACATTGATTGTTGCATCAATTTTAATGCTTCCATAGGGCTTGACATTAAGCAGCCATCAGATGTTGTAGACCTAAATTTAATGTCATTGTGTTTATCATGATACCGGATACAGGTTAAATGATCATTGACCAATATTTAAAACGCTCTGCCTGTAAATTTAAAGCTTGGTTCAATGTTGGGTGGGTTACTAACATTTTCCAGGCTTTTACTTGTATTTCAAAGCTATGTGCCTTATGAGCTATTTATGCTAATGAATATGTCGATAATTTGCATAGCTATTTATTAAAGGATTTTGATGTGTATAATTTTCAGTAAAAGGATACTAATGAAAAGGGTGTAAAGTGTAATTTTATTAAAATTTTTAATAAATTCGTTTCAGTCATTTGCTTCTATAACTCAACATTCAATTTTTCCGTAAGGGAGAAGAAGGAGAAGGGCCCATTTCTGCTTCAAGAGAACGGTTTCAAGTATCTGGGCGCCATGTTCAGTGATCAAGTGGGGGCTGCATATTGACTTGTTCACCATGAAGAACAAAACCGTCCTCTTGAAGCAGAAATGGGCCCTTCTCCCTGTATGTATGGTCATGGTAAAAGCTGCTGCTCCATCATTATCTCCAAACCAAATCATGAAATAATTGGATCTTCACATCAAGTGAAGTGTACATTAGGGGGTTCCAGGTTGAAAAACATGGACTTACAGACGTTTGCTATAACTGCATAAAAATCTGAAAATGTCTAGTTGAAAGTAGAATTGTTCAATTTTTAGGCAGGATGGGATAGATAAAGCACAAAATGCCCAGGTCCAACGTTTCTGCAGTGTCTTCTCGCGTTGAATTTTCTCTGAATAACTACTTTTCTCACTTCCTGTCACAAGTTGCTGTGTTGCAACATAAATGTGTAAGTTGAGATTTACTTTCACATATTTTTGCACTTACACAAGTGGATTTTGTTTGCCCTAAGAAACCCTATTTGTTCATTACTGTTAGCATTAAGTTTTCAGTTGGGTCAGTACAATTCTAAACGTAGCCTACTCTTCATACAAATAAAAATGACAAAAACAAGCATGTGCTTTATGTTTCTAAAGATTTTTTGTGGCACTAGTGGCCTTTCTCCATCAGTAGTGGGACAGAAAGGAGGGTAAAACGTAGCAAAAGTCCCCGGGTGGGAATCGAACCAGGATCAAACCCTCAGGACTCACCTCCCCAAGCGGTGCGCGTGCTCCACCACTGAGCCGTGTGATTATCAGAGTTACCGATAAGTGTTACTGAACCTGCAGTAAAGTAAAAAGGTTTGGAGCAGAGCCGCGTTTTGAAACTTGGTGTTGACGTTCTGGGCCGACTTTCTCTGACTTTTTAAGACGTTCTTGGAGAGCCACTCCCATGGCGGAGCGGGGCAGCAGGACGACCCAGCTCCGTCTCCAGTTCGGGCACGAGGACAGCTCGTTTCCAGGTTCTGCGGAGTCGTTTTGACATCCCCTCCAGTGGAATGCGGTTTGGAGAGTTTTTGACGGGATAACCTGAAATTCGTCGACCGGGCCAGGTAAGACATCACCTGGCAGCTCCCTGAACAAAGAGCTTCTAAGATGGTGGGACATCTTTATTTTTTTCCGGACCTTTTTTTCAGCTTCCACCGTCTGTTGAAGAGAAGGAAACACCTGAACGGACACCTGCGTGACCGGACAACACCTGAGCTGTAAGGTGAATCCCAGAGGCTTGACCTCTGGTAGCTTCAGGTCAGTTCCCTTTTAGGTTTTAATTGTCTACGTTGAGCTACATTGTTTAAATAAGCAGCAGGCTTACGTAAATAATAAATAATAAAGTACTTATTGTTGTTTAAGCTTCAGAGATTAACTCAAACTTATGCTAAGTTGATTTTCTGACTATGCAACATGTGAAACATGTTTTAGGTTGACTGGGCCTTATTTGTCAATTAAAATCCTTAAATTAATGTAAAATTACATTTGGACTGCAGTTTTAAATAGATCTCTTTTTAAATGTGTACTTTTGGCCACCTTGTCCGATTCTCAAAGTGAAGGTGTGTTTTTAAAAACAGTTATAACTTTTTAAATATATTTGACTACTATGAAGATACTGTTTCCTGTCAAGAAACCAGTTTGAGCTTTTTTAAAGGTTTTCCCCATAAACGTTTCTTAAATATTTCGAATAACTTTTCTGTGGAAAAAATGTTTTTTTTTTTTAAATCATGACTTCCTGACTGTTCTCAGAAGATTTCTTAGAGATTAGTAATTGAGCAAAATCATTCAAGCGTTACAAAGGCCTTTAAGCTACAGGAATGACCTGGTGTTTAGTCTACTCAGATAGTAGGCCCATGTGCTTTGCAGGTGGCTCTTTTCACATCAAGTATTTTTCATTCCAAAATGCTGTGGAATTCCGAATTGGAAGAAAAATTATAGTTGCTTTTTAAAACGTTTTGAAATGTGGCATACAGTGGTATTCAGTCTGACACTAAATAAAACCCAGTTCAGTTGTCTGCTTCCAGAAGTCTTTATGTACTAAAGACTTCATCAATATGCAACCCTTCTCTGAAGGCCTCAGAGGTTTGTTGGAGAACAGTAGTGAACAAACAGCATCACCAAGACTAAGGAATACAGCAAGCAGATCAGAGAAAAGATGGAGATCGTTCAAGTCTAGATGTCATCATGTATCTCGAGACAAACGGTTGTCCATGGGAATGTCCAGTTAGCTTGAGCTATGGATCTGCACCTACCACAGTTATTATGGGACTGCTGTCTGCTTCACATTTATTCTCTTATTGGTTGGGGTTTTGCCATATAATGAATCCCTTCCTAAGCTTCGCCAGAGCTTTCTTTCTGCTGTCTCTGCTAGTTGTTCTCCAAGGCTCAAATCTATTTCTAAAAACATGTGCTAAGATGATTAAAAGAAAAAAATCGAGACAAAGCATATCACCCACAGCCACTACAGCTTTGCTTTAGTCTATTTCATTCACACTTAAGTTTCCAACTTAAGTGTGTTAAGTTGAAACTTAACACTTAATTTAATTTTCAGACAAAATATTTAGTTAGCAAAATAAATATTTAATTCGGGGCTAAAAAGGTAAGTATTTCAGTCAGAGTTAAATGTTTACATTGGAACTAAATATTTAGTTTGCCAATTACCTTGCTAAATATTTAATTTGTAAGCTACTTGATTTGTATTTACGCCGTGAATTAAGTATTTAGCTTGGAGCCCTGACATTGTACGTCACAATGAATAACAGAGTAAAAATATGACTTTGAGAAATGTATACAGTGATTTTTTTTATGACAAGCTAAATTCAGCTGAATATTGCTTTTAATTTTTCACTGTGTAACTTTACAGATGGCACCCCATACTCACATACTCACAACCTGGTTTTCTTGTCAAAGAGAAAGTTCTTTACCATTTTCCTCTATTCTCTCCATTTCACAGTACCTGGTCTATGTATTGTCACATAAAATCTAAAGTAAAATGTGTTGAAGTTTGTAAAAAATAAAAAATAAAGAAAAAACATAAAAAAATAAATACATTGTGTATTGACTCTGTTCACAAGCCTGGAATATTTTTTTTGCAATCAGACTTTTGTTTGCTACACAGTTCTATTATTCACAGAAAACAATCATCAGCAATTCTGAACCCGTTCTGTGAAGGTCATCTGCCTACAACTGCTTTCATTTGATTTCAGTCAGGCTTTTATAAAACTATAAACTCTCCCAACACTAGCTCAACCTGGTTGGATTTTAAGATTTTGAGCAATGTTTTTTACTAACTTGATTTTGGCAAAGTCAGCATATTCAGGCAAGACTTACAAATGAAAGTTCACAGGAGTGTTGACAGCATGCTTGTTGTATTGTTAGAAATCAGCCCACTGAGAAGGAGGCGTGGTTGCTTTATGGGCCCTTAAAGTCCTGAGCGTTTGTCCTGTGTGTCATTAGCTGTCTGAGATTTCAGGGTGTGTGATGGGGCAAGCGCTGACAAATCTGTAGTCTGAATCCTTTCAAGTAGAGTTCCCATGGGAAAAGGTGACGAGTTGGTTTTATTCAGGAAGCAGCTGATGAGGAAGAACATTGTGGTAAAATTCAAATAACAATGGTAGGAAAAAAGCTTGGGGCATTACTATTATATATATTTTGCTTCCAAGATGTTAGACTTTTAAAGTTTTTATTTTTAGTATTTTTTTTTTAGAATATTTCAAAGTGATCTTGATCAGCTTGTCACTTTCTGAGGCATTTTCATTGAACTTTTTTATCCCATTATCTAAGCAATTTTGGAGGAATGTATTTTTTGTCCCTTATGTTATGACAGATGAATCATCAGGCTACTAAGTCTAAAGTTTGCTATTCACACCTAATAAACTTTACTAAATTATTTGATGCAACTCAGCAAAGAAGCCATTTTAATTCAGTTAATTCAGTTTTTCAACTCAAATGGAAATGAAATGTAACTTATGTCATCTAAGCAATGAATATGAAAAACCCTCTGACGGAAGACTGTTACTGCATGACTGCTTCTAACTATTCGTGAAAAAAATTAATACAACTTAACTTAGAAATTAGTTAAAAAGTAAAATAAATAAATAAATAAAAAATGTAAACATTTTATGTAATTCCTCAGGACAGTCAGGTAAACATAACAAAAGTCATAGCAATAGCTTTTATTAAGGGTATTGAACTTGGCAGTTAAAGTTGATACAACTTAAGTGAGTCAAAGACACAAGGAATAAAGTTGGGTCAACAATTTTTTTTTCCTGCATAATGGCTCAATATATCATCTCAAAAGAGATTATATTTGTCCTAGATGACATCATCAGCTGTTGGCAAACACTGCTAATTATCTCATTTGCTTTTGTCGCTCCTGTTTAAGTCTTTGTCCTTTAGCTGGACATTATCCAAACCAGAGCGATAAACCAACTGTCCTAAAAAAAAAACTTTTCCTCAGCTTAAAAATAAAAGTATACAAAAAAAACAAATCTCAGTTAACATAACAGAACTGCTCCAATATTCTGCCACTATAAGCGAATTAATTATAGTGTGATTCTTAAGTGTCTTTCAGGTTGTGTTAGTGCTTTGAAAGGTTTTTTCTGCTTCTTATTGCTGTAGGAAGTTTCTAATAATTAAATGCATCTTTTGTTTGAGAAGAGTCTATTTTAATATTTCAGGACAGCGCTGTTCAGGAACTACAAGTAAAAATGAGTGAGAAATCGACCAAAGTCCAAAGAACTATCTGTTAATCAGAATCACATTGAATATGGTAAGTCTTTGTTGGAAGACTTACCATTTCATATATAAAGAATGAAAGGTGGTTGAAAAGATTTTCACAGTACAGAGAGTGCAGTAAGGCAGCACAGAGATCCATTAACAGGGATGTGTGAAGCTA